TATTTAATAATATATGTCTACAGGAAAGACTGCTACCAAAATATACTAATATATATATATATATATATATATATATATATATATATATATATATATATATATATATATATATATATATATATGAATTGATAGAAATTACCTGATCATTGCATGATCGCTTCAAAGATTGTTTAGTAATATAAAATTAATATAAAATGAATGAAAAATTAACGAATTAAATTATTACAATTTAATGTAATGAATTTAATAAATTCAAAATTAAGGAGCACCACAGTAGACAAATTTGGCCCATATTTGGAGGGTCCAGTGTAACTCCTCTCACCCGGGATTGAATGTAACCCATTCAATCTATTCATGAAATCTGCTAAACTGTTTGCCTCAATAATGCTAACTGGCAGCCTATTCCTCAAACTTATTTCCAAATCAATGCTTCCCTGTATTCCACCTAAAACAATATTTCTCCAGCTTGTACCCATTGTGATTTATTCCGATAATTTCAGAACCCTTCTTATATCACCCATGTTTATGCCAGTAACCCACTTGAAACCCCTAATTATATCCCCATTATTCTGCATTTCTCTAGTGAGTGCAGATCGACCAACCCATCCTCCGAACAGACAGTACGTTTTAATACTAAATGTAATAAGTACAGTCCTGACTATTGGCATATTGGCATAGTACATATATACACTTAATCGCCAGCATCGCAACAAAATATGGTGAATATTAGAGTTTACCTGAAAAGCTGTATAGAAAACCACGACCTACCCTAACCTTGGGAGTGTAGGAGGACAAGCATGTAAATAGCATTTATTGCTTCTTAATTACAATTAGTCCTTAATTAGTAGAAATATTGATATTACAATTTTATAAAACTAATAAAACAAAACTAAAGTCTTTCAATAAATTATAAAGTAATTCAAGATATTTTCAAATTTTGTATAAAATCTCTATTGTTTAATAAAACTAAAAAATAAATTCTTTATATTTAAAACTTGTCTTCATGAAATAAATATATAATATATCTAACAGACGGTATGTAATCTCCAGTGCTGCAGTAGTCGTAGAGGGATTCACGATCTACCACATTAAAGTCCGGTTTCGGGGGGAAACCAGATTCACCGGGCCCCAAATACTCAAAAAAATGACGTCACGAATGCTGCTCCGTTGGACATCCGCGACGATGCCGACGGCTCTGTGCTTCAATACTCAAGCGAAGAAGCTCTGGAGCGACTGTTTGCCCCTGGACACACTACTCAATTCCGACCTCATCATCCTACCTACCCGACGCTACCTGGCTGAAGGAACCATCTTCGTCAGCCACACCAGTGTCTACATCACCCAAGACCCAGACACCATACTTGATACTATCAACACAAGGAACACGAAAGCTTCAACCTAAACATGTTGAGTGTATTAACAGAAAATGAGGAGAATATATGGGGGAGGTAAATGTAACAGCATAATTAAGTGTATTTATGTACTATGCAGAGAGTCATTAATGTACTTATTACATTTAGTATTAAAACGTACTGTCTATTCGGAGGAAGGGTTGAGATCGACACACTTTAATCTGCACTCATGGGAATGGTTCCCGATAACAGGTAATTGAAACCTGTTATCGGGAGCCAAACAGGTAATGGAACGGTTGCAGGCTTGAAATTTTGTCTTTGTCTAGTCTCCGTTTCTTGTCACTACGTAGACGAGAACTGTGCAGCGTAGTCCAGTGGGGGCCTCGCCTGTGCTAGATATAACTGAAGGATGATGTTCTGTTGCTAATATTTGTTATTATAAATCCCATCACCCTGTTTGCTGTTAGTCGTGCATACACACAATGTGGTCTATGCTCCAGGTCGCTGTTAACCCTGACTCCTCAAGTCTCTCAGAATTTTATCTGCTTGTGATTACGTTATTGGTGTGTATATAACATCGCTGTCTTTCCTAGGCTAAGAAATCTGTTACAGAATTCAGCACCTCAGTGAAGCTGGGTATTCAGAAATAGAGTTATTAATGGCAAGATACGAGCTGTTATCTCCCCCACGTCACAGTCTGGGGTCATATGACTGATGTACACGTCACCATCACATGGGAATATATCGCTGGTGATATTTGTATCCGTCCACTTGCTTTAGGGTAGAATTTTTTTTTTTTAATTTCCGATTTGTGTTTTAGTTTAGGGGTTATTATGAGTATTGCACTTCATCATCGGAGCCGCGAACCCAGAACCACTAAAAGCGGAAAATCGTAATTTTACAAACTAGGCTACTGAATACCCGCACTAAGGAAGAATCCCAGAGAGACAACTGATATCCAACCAGGACTTTAAGCCTTTCCTGGGACCCACGTTATTGTGGTTTGCAATTTATATGACTAATTGTGTCTCGCCGAACACCTTCAGACTCAAGTGGCACTTTTGTGGTCCTGGGTGTAAATCCTCCTCTCATAGTCCAAATGAATGAAATAATATTATCCACGTTATTATAGTTTCCAATTCATTGTTGTGCATATTGTTTGCTTGGGGTTTAACTATCATAACCTTACCTCGGGTTTACCAAAACTAACCTCTCGTATACACATCCTAACATCTGGCTTCTCTTCTTCTTCTTCTTGAGAATAGGTGCAGTTTGCATGCAGGGTTTACCCTCCCGATGACTGCACCACGACAAATGTAGGGAAGCGCGTAGACGTTAATTAAGGAGAAGAAAGTCAAACGTGTTGGATGTGGCGGGCCGTAGAGATCATCTGGCTTATCTAGCCTAGCCTAATATCTGCGTTGCTTAAAACAGTCTCTGGCTTACCTGACCTTTCAACTTGGAAACTGTCCAGATCTTCCTTTAAGCTTAATTACGTTTACTTGCATTTCTTTAATGTTTTCTTCATTATTGTTTCTTTTATAATTTCATGTGGATTCCATCTCATGTTGGTCTCCGAATGCATGATAGAGCTGATGAATTACCATAAGAATCTGCCTTCAAAGAGGTTGATTATAATCTTCGATTATCTATAAGCATTCTGAGAACATTAATACATCAACAACTTCAACAAAGTTAGCTTAGCATTTTAAAAGCCCCGAATCACCTTCTGTGGTTGATTGTTCAATAAACCCCTGAACTATATGTTTAACAGATCTCTCACCCTGTCCATGGAGGACAGACGAAAATGTATATTTTCTGGTTAGCATTATTAATGTGTGGCCACGTCTGTGGTAGAAAATAATAATAATAAACAAATAATAAAAAAATAAAAAAAAAACTTCAACAAAGCTTTGTAAATCTGAAGCAAGGTGAAATCTACACTAAACTGTGTATTACAAGACATTAGGTCGTAAACCACCATGTTTTGAGGAAGATCCGCTCGTATTTACAGGCGGGACTCCAAGCACTTGACAAGAGGTTTTGTAAACAAAACTACCAACCAGGTAGTTAATGACCGTATTACACGATATAAACGCTAATACCGCAACAGTCTACAACAGACAAGCTATGATTACTATGGCTCGTATAATTATTAACCTCTTTTCGGTTACGACAGTATAAATCCACAATCACAAACTCAAGGAGGGAGTTCTTGAGCCTGGCCGGACAGTGCAGAGCGCCATAACTTGCCCTGGTGAACCCCGACCACACTAACAGGTACACGACCAGTCAACTGTCTACGAATGACACCAAGACGAACCACAGCCGGCGCGCAGCCAACATTGACGGCCACCAGAACATCAAGACCACAACGAATGCGTCATTATTGACATTATTGGTAAGTCGCTGTGAATTCTTATGTTTCAGAACTTTACAGACTGAAAGTACAAAAACCGACGATGTCAGCCAGTGTCACCGTCACTATGACAGTCATAGAGTGACACGTCTTTTTTTTCTGTGCAGTTAATTTACTCACATTGTTGGCCAGTAACATCGATTATTTGTTCATCGGTAACCTTGACTTTTTGTTTTTTGTCTACTTATCTATGGCGTTGCTGTTCCATATATTCGATGGCTCCACCTATGTAATGTACATAGAAGGGTATAACTACAAATAACAACTATAGAGTTATAACTAACTTTAATCTACAATGGTATAATGAAGCAACAGCATATTACCATACTCGTAAATTCGTAATTATTTTGCTGACTTAAGGATCTCGCCACGTCAGGTGTAGTTGCCGTGAACTCTGTTTAATTGAAGCTAGAGTTTCTAACCTCGCTACACTTAACAAGTGACTGGCAGTATCAGACGCAGATATTTTGTGTTATATTCGTCACCTCTTGTGGCCCGGAATGCGAGACTTGAGAGCTGGAGCTCTTTCATTGGAGGCATATTGAAGGCGAGTGACTGTTGGCGTTGCTCGTGCCCGGAGCGACGGCCCCAGTTTCTAAATATATAATTGTTTAGTTTATTTATTTCTCCACTGTGAAATAGTGGAGAAATATATATTCCGTATATAGCAGGTAACCTATAGCTTAATTTTCTTTGTATTTAATAGGAAGGCATCGATCTTTTGTTGTAGTTTTAAATGTATAATTTATGATTGAGACGTATTTGACTAGCGTTGCCATATTCGGTATTTCGCAATTTCCCATGTTTAAACAATTTGACGTTTATCATCAGTTACACACAAAACAATTCGTTATTAGTAATATTATAACTCCCCAAGGCATTGTTTATTTACGTTACAGGAACTATGGTATTAATATTAAGTATTTATGGTAAACTAATCCCGTGATCACAACGTGAGATATTGTTCCTCTGTCGCGTTCAGGCTCGTTGTTGGATGAGTAACGGTCGTCCCGCAGTGTGGTGAAGCCTAACCTCATGGTCACACTCCAACCCGTTATCCTAATAGCACGTCGTTTTTTGACGTTTAAATTATCTCAGGCCAAAAACTGTCGTACAAGAACCATTTACGTATAAACTTTACGTTATTTGTTGTTATACTGAAGCGGTGGAAATTATTCATGACAAGAATTAAACAACAGAAGTTCGTCTTTAGCGATATTCTTAATTGCTTACATATCAAACTGTTCTGATTTTGACGTAATGGCCATCGGTGGGAGCCGCTGGAGACGGTGGCCATCGGTGGGGGCCGCTGAAGACGGTGGCCATCGGTGGGGGCCGCTGGAGACGGTGGCCATCGAGGGGGCCGCTGGAGACGGTGGCCATCGGAGGGGGCCGCTGGAGACGGTGGCCATCGGAGGGGGCCGCTGGAGACGGTGGCCATCGGAGGGGGCCGCTGGAGACGGTGGCCATCGGAGGGGGCCGCTGAAGACGGTGGCCATCGGTGGGGGCCGCTGAAGACGGTGGCCATCGGTGGGGGCCGCTGGAGACGGTGGCCATCGGAGGGAGCCGCTGGAGACGGTGGCCATCGGAGGGGGCCGCTGGAGACGGTGGTCATCGGAGGGGGCCGCTGGAGACGGTGGCCATCGGAGGGGGCCGCTGGAGACGGTGGCCATCGGAGGGGGCCGCTGGAGACGGTGGCCATCGGTGGGGGCCGCTGGAGACGGTGGCCATCGGTGGGGGCCGCTGGAGACGGTGGCCATCGGTGGGGGCCGCTGGAGACGGTGGCCATCGGTGGGGGCCGCTGGAGACGGTGGCCATCGGTGGGGGCCGCTGGAGACGGTGGCCATCGGTGGGGGCCGCTGGAGACGGTGGCCATCGGTGGGGGCCGCTGGAGACGGTGGCCATCGGTGGGGGCCGCTGGAGACGGTGGCCATCGGTGGGGGCCGCTGGAGACGGTGGTCATCGGTGGGGGCCGCTGGAGACGGTGGCCATCGGAGGGGGCCGCTGGAGACGGTGGTCATCGGTGGGGGCCGCTGGAGACGGTGGCCATCGGTGGGGGCCGCTGGAGACGGTGGCCATCGGTGGGGGCCGCTGGAGACGGTGGCCATCGGAGGGGGCCGCTGGAGACGGTGGCCATCGGAGGGGGCCGCTGGAGACGGTGGCCATCGGAGGGGGCCGCTGGAGACGGTGGCCATCGGAGGGGGCCGCTGGAGACGGTGGTCATCGGAGGGGGCCGCTGGAGACGGTGGTCATCGGAGGGGGCCGCTGGAGACGGTGGCCATCGGAGAGGCCGCTGGAGATATTGAGTAATACTGGTGTTCGCGTAATAGAAGAAGCCAGACTCTGCAAAACCTTGCGAGGAGTCAGCACATATAGACGGGTCAGGGACTCGACTGACACTTTTGTCAGCAATGAAGCCAAGTGTAAATAACACATTTTATAATACTATTAAGACTGTGGGGTAGTATATCATAGTACTTGCTCTATGAGACCAACCTGGCACACGACGAAGTTCTGAGACTGGCAGAGGTACAGTTATAATGTGTTCATACTGTTTGGATTAATCATCCATTAGGACTGTCATTAATTGGTGAATTTCAGTGGATTCAACTTGTCTCAGATGGATCTTTCTTTACTCGTGTGATATCAGGTCAGTGTTGTATACCTGGAGTGGGTTCTGGGAACCTTAGGCTAGTCTTGTGATAACCTGGTCCAACATACTGGTGATAGTCCCACATATTCACTACAACCCCAGTTATGGTGTAAAGATTGTCTGTCGTCATAAACCTAGTCTTGGACCGTACTTGGTGAGACGGTTATTGCCAGAACTGTCATTTGCTTTTTTTCTTGACGTTCTTGGATATAGTTGTGTGCGTCGTGGCCAAGAGTTTCAGTACCTGCTCATGCGGAGGCAGCTACAGTGGTCTCCTTGTATTACAAATTATGTCTAACAAGACATTTAAGCGCTTGGTTACCTGACCAATAACAGCGTTAATCTTTATTCTGAGTATAACTGAAAGTTTCTGTTCTTAAATAATGGCAAAGTTTTTCTTTCACTCAATAATTCGAGTTGTAAATGAGCATAAAATTGTTGAAAATGCATCATTAATTATACTGAGGAGACGCAAGTAAAGATAAATGTACTTATGAAACCTTTATTACAGACAACGGTGCATACCACAAAGCAACTCCGTCCCCAACACGCTAGTCTGCCATGGGCGTGTCCAGGGCCAACACGGCCCGCTGCTCACTCACATCAACATCAAAATTTACGTTAGTCTCACCAACTCAACCAAATAATTTATTTTTGTCATTAACAGATATACAATAAACACAAGGTTACAAATTTTAGGTTTCATCGGCAATTAACACAGATGGAGACAAGATAAACAGGTGGATCAAATTAACACAGATGGAGAAAACATTTAACATAACTTAAAAAAATTATGAAATTAATACAAATGGCTTGGCACAGTGTATGACTGTGTGGGTCACTCAGTTAAGTAGCGATGGCTCTGGCCATTAACTGGATGGGTGACCTCATGGACAGCCGCTCTCTTACCTAAGGGGGCGGGGGGAGGGACCCCTGGAACAGCCTAACAGGCTTCCTGTTCCCGACAGTGTTCCCCAAAATCAAAGTGAAGATGGCGGTACCCGACACAAAATGTCAAGTAATGATCCGGTTAATAACACCACTAGTCAAGTACGTAGTTCATGAAGAAATGCAACAAAGTGATAACTTATTATATGTTCTGCGAGAGGAGCTGTGTTCAGCGTGAAATGTTTCACATGTTGAGAGTGAATTCTCCGGCGAGTACCTGTAAAATAACACTAAAGAGAGAGATTTGTCCTCCTGGAAGACTTGACGTAATGTTTGGTTGACAAATCACCCTTGAAAACCCTATGATGAAAGGACATAACCCCCCCCCCCCACCCCCCTTGCGGGACAGCGTTTTAACCTATCGTAATTATTTTGGCAACATTTTGTGTTTTGAGGTTAGTACAGCCTCATTCTTTTTTAGAGTTGATTGCGATGCTACACAAAAACTTTAACGTTGTATCCTACAAAACATGCCTTTGCAACGTTCATATAGCAAATAGCGTACCAAAGAACGGGCTTCTTGATATGATTGTCGTCCTCCCTTCAGCCACGCTACTCCTCGCCTTCATGAAGAATTAACACCAGTTACTCTTCACCGAAATAGAGAAAATTCTTATACAAAATTAAAGGCTTTAAATGCTTTTAACGTTGTGTGTCTCATATATATATATATATATATATATATATATATATATATATATATATATATATATATATATATATATATATATATATATATATATATATATATATATAAATATATGTGTGTGTGTGTGTTTATGTTTTCAATTGAAAAACAAAACAAAAAAATCGTCACATGATATAATATTTGTTTTATTACAAGGAGAAAGTCATCCAACATATTCCAAATTATTTAATTGTTCGGCTGTAGTTTTAATATTAATTTTTACAGTAAACACAGTTTTAATATTAATTTACTTGATTTTAGTCAAGTGGCTGTACCCGCGTCTTGTAGAGCAACAGGGAGCAGTGAAGGCGATATTATAACCCCTCGCAATAACTGACCAAACCCTTAGAGGACTAATATACGGGTTGCATGTCGGAGGCATCATAATTTTGACTGAAAAGAAGGCATTTTAATCAACGAACTTTTACCAGAAAGTAGCGTTCAGCTCTTGTTGGAAACATAGGTGTCTTCGGTGCCCTCCACCTGCGTCTTGTGAGGCTGTACCTTACAGACTGGTGACCCTCCACAGACGGACACAGACAAGCTGCCGCATTTTAAGGTAATCCAAATGCTCACGCGCATTCCTTGATATTTTTTTTTTACTTTTTTTTGTAAGTAGCAACTAAGCATCGCAAAGCACTAGAAGCGACTAGCAGGTTTGAGAGGTAACTCATTCTATAACGAGATGGTGTAAAAGTCTCGTATCTGTATTGTGGTTACTACGAAAAGTAATAAAGATCCGTCCATGAATGGGAAACATTCCTGATAGTACAGCCCATCCTCCTGTTTTGGTATTACTTATAGGAAGGATGGGAACCATAGAACATATACCGACGTATAATGCAATTAAAAAGTAGAAATCGGTACTATTGAACTTGGACAATCCGGAAAAGATTATATATTTATGCTGCAGATAAACTAACTTAACCCTTCTTAGGCCTAATACACGATATATGAGGCCTAATATAGTGCGTATGTGTGCTATACTCGGCGTAAGAATATTTAAGTTTGTTTTAGCTTCATTTTTTCGGACTATAAAGTGAATAGAACGAAATTCAACTAATTGCTTAGTATGTCAATATTTGTACTATGGTGCACATAGTTACAAAAACTACTATTTAAACAGGAGAAAGGGTTAGATATTAGTCCTGAATTAGAACTCAAACTGCTTGAGGCTTCCAGATTCGTTAATTAAATTAGAAGTGAAAGCGCATTAGTTTCGAAAAAACTACATCATTTTGTGCATCGGTAAACAAAATATATTAAACATTAAAGGTCACTTCAACTGAGTACGAATAATATCGGGTTATGAATTACGGTGTAGAGTTCTGTCACAGCTCGGAGACATGATTCGAATCATTCCCCCGGACTTAAATATTTTTAAAGAGCCTGACAATAAATCCCAAACTTAGAACTTCACAAGCGTGACTTAAGCCTAGCTCAAATATACACACAAGAATAAACAAGTACCTGATTATCAAATTTATACAGTACTTGACTATGTACAACCAGATTGGCTCTTCCATTTACAAAACTTCAGTTCGATTCCGTATATATACCCTGATCCCACTCTCAAGGTGGTCTATGAACGCTGCTCTAGCCCAGTAACCCGCCTCATAGGTCAGTATTGATAATACTGAGATGAGGCTGTGATTTAAGACATGGTCAAGGCCAGTTGCTAGGTATCTCCCACACACCTGTAGTTCATTTACAGGTTAAAATATGTATATAACGGTAATTTTGTTTAATAATTCCATCTCAAGAGAGAGTATTTGGTTGAACCAATTATCTGTGAACCACATTGGACGCGTACAAGTGCTAACTCTCGCTAATATGTTCTCGGCTGTTATTTGGTAAACTCAGTCATTTACAGTAAATTTTGTCTCACAAAATACATCTAAATGTAATTTATAAATAACCTTTTTAGGGAATTTAAAAATAAATATGACTAAATTGTATCAATATACGAACATTAGACTAGCAAATATTCACTGAAATACAGCACATTTAATGAAATTTAAAAATATATATTTTTCCTCAGTCATTGTAATGACGAGGCTTTGCACTGAAGGCAATAATAAAACTTGGTATATTGAGGTACGGTACTTGCATTTCTATTCGGTTATCTGGAATGTAGAGTAAACCATGAACACAACCTCCTGGTTCACTTTAACTCAAGCTACAACCACAACATTTCAACAATTATGGTTACAAGTTTAATATTTGAATTACATGATGAATATCAACCTCAGGAAACACAACCCTAACAGCTCACTCTCACTGCATTATCATTCTGCATTGGTGCTGTACAGAGATGTTGTTAGTATAAGCTGTGTTAGTGATCACAAGCTGTGGCTTGCCACTGTGATTAACAGGTGTAGATACATCCAGTGATCGATGTTTATTCCATTGCACATCACATCATGGTGGCAGCGGTGGGATCCCGCAGACAAGTAAGAACCCAGACACTAGGTTTTTATATCAGTTTGCCTTAGTGATGATGTGAGGACTTCCAACATCTGCTCGGATATAATTCAGTCTCCAGCAGAGGTATTGTGTCACTTCCACTCGTTTTGTATCACAGCGCGCGGTGTTTACTGAAGCCTCGTCCAGTACTGGGTGTTCATGTCGTGGTGGTGGGTGGCGGGGACCGCTAGTGGCACCGACACACCTGGAGACAACACACCTGTAATAAACCACAGACTTCTTACTGACGGTAAACTTTTTGGTTTAACTATTTACAGAAACTTTCTCGGTGAGGTAGTATATATCTATGGGCAATATAATTAGTTAATCACATAAAAATTCATGGTATAATTGTGTTTTCGGCTGTGTACTGTCTCCATTACATTTAACTAGATTTAAACTCATATAGGCGGTGTTCTCACACTAAAACAGCCTTTGAATAAGTATTATTTAAAACAGAACACGATTCTTTACTACTGATCAATAATAATAAACTATGAAATAAATTTTGTATTACAATTATAATGTCATGAGAAGTTATAAGAGAAGAGTTATATGAGAAGTCACTGATAGGAAAACTCTTCAGAGGAATGTCTGGGTTGTAACTCTGGTAATGCAATTTGCATTCATTTTTGTAACATATAAATAATGAATGTTACTGGTGGTAGTAAAATATATGCGAATTCATTAGTTAAACAGAAAGCAGAGAATAAAGCAGGAGTTGGGAATGAATATAACAGAAAGATAAGAAAACAGGAAGCGCTTTTTTGAGAAAAGAAGGAAGGAAGTGCAAGATATTGGCGGAAAAGACAACGGGAACGTTAAATATGAACTTTTTGGAGACTGTTAACTGGTGAAGAATTAATTAAATGGTGGCGGAGAGATTACTTTGAAAGTCAGGTGGGTGGACGTGATGAAATAAAGGCAAAGGAAATCATGATTGGTGTTACTGGTGCGAAGAGAGTGTAAGGTACAATGTCAGTTGATGTAAGTGCAGTTGGTCAGTGAAGATCCTGAAATGTGGGAGAATTGCAAGTGTTAAGGAGATTTCTGGAGAGAATATTAAAATGCAGTGCTGCTGGAAAGGTAATGTAGAGCATAGTGAGATTGTGCCACATTGAGGGATAAACAAAGCTGAAGAGGCTACGGTGATTATATTTTCATTATGTCTTGGGCAGATGATGTAGTTCTGTTAAAAGAGAATAAATGATATGTGTAGACTTGTTGAAAGTTTGATGTATGTTAACTGATAAAAGTGAATGTTCACAAAATTGAAGTTGTGATGGATGAGAGACAAGAGTGTGTGAAATTAGTGTGAATAGAGAAGTTCAATACGTGGTTAAAAAATATATACACTTGGGATATGCAACTGACGAATCAATTTGTGTATGCAAAGTTGAGTGTTGTAAGAGCTAGACAAGTGGCTGGAGTCACGTAAGCTTAGTTACATGAAGATGTAACAATTCAGTAAGTACAGAATAGGATGAGATACCACCTGGGGGATGCATGAAGAAGTGTGGGGGGGGGGGGGGGTACACTAATGCACGGATGACAGACGTCAAAAATAATCGAATATTAACATTTACAATATGAGAAGCATGTGTGATGTTGGGAGGGTAAGAGGGTAATGCTAAACTTATTACATTGATGCTATTGCTGGAGTACATATGCTGTAGCCCACTACATTTCTTGTTTATTCACTGTTATATTGAAGTATAAACTCCGCTAAAAATCACTGTGACATCCAACATGTCATTCATTATACAGTGTAGAGTCCGAGGTAGAGAAGACAGAACTCACCAGCCTGGGAGTTGGGCGGGGTGGGCGTGTTGTACTCGTGGGCGTGGGGGGACTGGTGGTGGTGGTAGAGCATGGGAGGGCAGGTAGGGGAGGCGCGGGCGTGCGAGTACAAGGAGTCGTAGCTCGGGCGGCCCATGTAGGGGTTGTGGGTGTGGGCGTTGTCCCGGTTGAGAGTCATGCCCCCGGCGCCCGGGCTGCCGGAGTGGACGCCAGAGGGCGGGTGGTGTGGGGGCAGGCAGTTGGGGCTGGGGGCTACGGGACCCACACTCGACGCCATCGCAAACCCGCCGCCGCCACCCATCGACCTGTGTGAAGGAAGATGAGTCATTAACTCTGACATACTGAGGTCTACAGTGACGTGACTGGCAGCACACGCGGGTAATGCACAGCGCCCAAGTCTCGCCCAGAAATCATCAACGCCAAGAGCCTGTGATAAAGGAATTTGTTTAATAACAAAAGAAGTTTTCCCTTCTAATAATTTTTATAGCTCTGAATACTTGAAGATTACATCTTCCTCTTTGACGTGATGGAAAATAAAAGCTAACGAAATATAACAGAAAAAATAAATATTCAAAGAATGAAAATAAAGCTGTATTAAAGACCAGGTTACAGCACAGTACAATGTTAGAAATTACATATGAATATTTTGTCATGCGTAATTGTTTATAGTTAACAGATATGAGACATACAAGAGTAGACACAGTGACTCTTGGTAACACATCGTAGACGACACGGAAACACAGAAGGTAATAAACTTGACGAAGATTTAGACATGCTGCAAGAGAGCTTGAGTTAAGCTTAGAAAATGGACTGAAATTTGGTTGACGCAGTTTAGTACAGACAAGCGTAGGGTCCTAAACCTAGGATAATAAAACAGGTGAACCAGACAGGCGCTAAACGACAGTGAAGCTGTGCACCGTTCATGACCCGCTCAGTTATCCTGTGCACCGTTCATGACCCGCTCAGTTATCCTGTGCAGTGTTGTGCAGCTTAAATGTCTTTGTTACAAGTGACTGTCCTTGTTACAAGTGACTGTCCTTGTTACAAGTGACTGTCCTTGTTACAAGTGAAATGTCCTCGTATACATTGCCTTGCAAAAGCCCCAAAACATGGCCTAGTGTTAAACCATGGATTCCGGGTTCGATTCCCTATCAGGATAGAGATGGTTAATACATCTGTCCATCTAGCAGCTAATAAGTACCAAGGAGTTAGGCAAGTGCTGCAGGGTTGCATCCTGGGGAAGGTCAGTAATTCGACTTAGCTGGGAAACCTCAATACAAGCCTAAAATAAATATATTCACAGGTTTCCTACTCCTGACAACAGGCATTGTTAAATTATTTAGGAAAACTGTTGTGTAAATACACTGAACCAGGGTACATTTCTCGGTGTCCATAACCATTGTCTTCACCACTATCATCAATATACTATCCAGATTGTATCAATTGCAAATAATATTATGTATATTATTATAATGTATGATTGTAATTAAGTCATGCCCTGTGGTGATTAGCAGTGCCCGCGGAGCAGTGACTTGGCCAGTGCCGCCCCGGGCACAAGATGACCGGCCAGTATGCTAATAACAACACCGTACTCCTCTACGAGTAAGGTAAGTGTTTGAAGACCTGGGTGGCTGCACCACACCGCGCCGCTCAACGGAACAAGACTCCGGACTCAAGGTGGGTCCCCCTTTTTTATAATAATTATATAAATCTGATTTCCTCGGTGACGCTCTTACCCGTAAGTATCGGCCACGGACATGGGCGGAGGCGGTAGCGGCGTGTACATGGGCGTGGGCGTGAAGGAGTTGTTGATGATTCTTGTGGGTGAGGATGGTGGTACGCCTTCGGCCGCCCGCCGTTGATTTCGAAGTTTCTCCTCGCGTCGCCATTTTGCGCGTCTATTGCTGAACCAAACCTGTCAAAGAAAACGAACCTTGTTTAAGCAATTTAGGATTAACCAATCAATTTTTTTTTATGCACGATGTATACTTTAGCAGTGTTGGAACTACAAAATTTCTTTATCTGTAATATATAATTTATTGTAATATAACAATATATTTAGTATAAGCACCATACATTGGATGAAAACATCCCTAACAACAGTGTTGGTTCATGATAACTCACTTGTATCCTAGCCTCTGGAAGGCCGATTTTGGCTGCAAGTCTTTCCCGCGCAAACACATCCGGGTAGTGGGTCCGCTCGAACTCTGAGGAGGCGGGAACATTGTTCACTCTGTATTACACTTCAGCTGCATTGAGATGTATAATGCTATGGGGGATGAGGGGGGGGGGGATATCTCGATATAAGTAAGTAGAGGCTTCCTGTCACCGACAACGGAGGTTTTAGCGACACTGCAAGAATGTAGATAAGACGACACATCAACCTTATTAGGAAGGGGTAGGGTAAAATAATACAGGAGTACACACAGAGATCACACTAACGTGATGCATCAAATGAACAAATCCACAAGGGTTTTAACCCTGTCGTAGCTCAGTCGATTAAGGCAGTGTCTGGGATGCTCCCGGACGCAGGTTCGAATCCTCGTCACGGCCCTTGTGGATTTGTTCATTTAATACAGGAGTGTTTCGATAATGCACGTTTTCTAAATGTTCAAATCATATATATCGTTGAGGCCGCCCTCGCAGCTGATCCATTACCATGAGAAATCACACCCCTCTCCTCAAACCACCTGGATAGTTATTTAGATATTTGTGATGGTCTGAAACCATATTACGGATCCGGCAAGCGTCTACATGTATACTAGCAAATGAACCTTTGTCATAAACGAAGATTATTCTCACGTTATAACATTATTGTATTATAAATTAGTGGTTCAAAATATAAAAAGGTATGATGAAAACGTTTTCTTTGAAGAATTTGGCTTTCTGTAAACGGAATTCTCGGTCACACTGAAATTGTTTTCGAATTCCATACTTCACATTATCGTCAATAATACCCCGTATTAATGTAACCAAACGTTATGAAACCTAACAAAACCCTTAACCTAAAGTAACTTTACCCTAACCTAACCATGGATCAAGAGTAGATAATAACACTAATTATGTAGTTGTTTCCAATCCATTCCCTTGACCGGATCTCCTATTTGAGGACATGTTGATATTGTTAGGTTAAGTCAAGTTGGATTGGATAGGTTGGGCTAGGATGGATTAGGTTGGGCTGGGTTAGATTGGGTTGGAGTAGGTAGGTGGGTTGGATTCATTACGTTAGGTTAATTGGGTTAGACTGAGTTGGATTGGGTAAGGTTACGTTTGGCTGCGCTGGGATAGGTTGGGTTAGGTTAGGTTAGGCTGGGTTAGGTTAGGTTAGGTTGGGTTAGGTTAGGTTAGGCTGGGTTGGGATGGATTACGTAGGTGGGTATTATTAGTTTAAGTGGGTTTGGTTACGCTGGGTTGAGTTTGGTTATTCTAGGTTAGATTAGGCTGGGTTCGGGTTGCTTATTGTGGGTTGGGTTAAGTTAGACTGGGTTGGGTTTGGTTAAGCTGGGTTAGGTTTTAATATCCGTAGGCGAAGTATCTGTGAGTGCTCAAATTGGATGTTAGCTTAAAAATGAAGTAGAGTAATGACTCTGGTAAAGATCACTTGATGAATTACTTTCTTTCGTGGTAAAGGAAGAATGCAACTGTGGCATGCGACTGACGCCCTTCTTACACTTGCAACAGTCAGCAGGCTGGTCAGCACGGATTGGTAGTTAACAACACTGGATTAGTTCATAATCGGCGAAATTTGTGCAAAACATTCTTGTAATTTTAGTAGACTAAAAATGTGGCGTTGGGAGCTGGACCTTGGGAAATTAAGCGAGTCCACATAGGAAGACACAAGGTATTCCTCGCTAAGCTTGCAACATTCTTGAGAACAGCGTCGTGAAGACCGCTCTTGACGGTCTTTTGTTGTTATTGTTTGAATTATTAAGATAAAAGTGTGACATTTATTCGTTAATTATTCCCTCATTCTAATTATATTTATTGGATAGGTGACTTGGCCAGCTTGCCCGGGAAAAACTTAATTAGGTATTACGCTTATTTGTCTTTGTCTCGGGAACGTGTTCATTTCTGCTCTCTTTCTCTCTCTCCCACATACTCCTTAACATAATGTGCCTCACACTTACCCTTCTCGAGGCTGTCGATCTGGTCGTTGGTGAAGGAGGTCCGGTTCCTCTGGAGTTTCCTCTTGAGGTGGAGTCTGGCCTGGTCCTCACTGCTGCTGTTCTCACTACTGCCGGCGTTGCTGTCCTCGCTCAGCTCCCCGGCGTCACCTGCGGCAACACCCACGCCCCCATTATCACCTCACACTACCTCGGGCTCCCTGGTTCAGTGTTGGCGGGGTTCATAAAGATGGGGGCTGTGTGTGTGTGTAGAGGGGCGACGGTGGTACTTCTCGCTGGTAAACATGTTTAGTGGGAGGACAGGTGTGACAGCCTAAGATGTTTAGTGGGAGGACAGGTGTGAGTGGCAAAGATGGCTGCGCATGAAGTGTGCTCCGTATGGAGAACACCAGAACAAAGGAGAATGTTCTCACACACACACACACACACACACACACACACACTGATTTAACATAAATTACATGAACCCATCACTAAATAATCGTTATATTTCTTATAAAGTAAAATCACCCAATACCCAGTACTGGAGGTGTTGTACATTATTGTTGTTGTTGTTGTTGTCGAGTGTGTGTGTTGACACCCCCCTCCCCCCCTCCTCCTCCAGCACCTCCACAACACCTCCCTTCCACGTTTTCTTTCTTATTTTCTCTGCTATAAGAAACTGCAAATACTTCTAGAAATATCTTGAATACTCTGAAAAAGAGAGTATCTATAGCTATTATGGATGTACTACTGTATGATGGCCTGCTGTATAATGTATGATGTACTGCTGTATAATGTATTGTATGATGTACTGCTGTATAATGTAATGTATGATGTACTGCTGTATAATGTATTGTATGATGTACTGCTGTATAATATATTGTATGATGTACTGCTGTATAATGTAATGTATGATGTACTGCTGTATAATGTAATGTATGATGTACTGCTGTATAATGTATTGTATGATGTACTGCTGTATAATATATTGTATGATGTACTGCTGTATAATGTATTGTATCCGAAGGGAACATAATGTATGACACAGTGTCCAGCTGAAGAGGGTCGCGACTGTACTCACCTAACTTGTGCTTGCGGGGGTTGAGCTCTGGCTCTTTGGTCCCGCCTCTCAACCGTCAATCAACTGGAGTACAGGTTCCTGAGCCTATTGGGCTCTATCATATCTACACTTGAAGCTGTGTATGGAGTCAGCCTCCACCACATCACTTCCTAATGTATTCATTCCATTTGTCTACTACGCTGACACTGAAAAAAATTCGTTCTAATGTCTCTATGATTCATTTGGGCACTCAATTTCCACCTGTGTCCCCTAGTGCGTGTTCCCCTTGTGTTAAACTGCCCCTTGTGTTACTGTGGGCTGGTTAGTGTAGGGCTGACGACCTACACCCGCGGGGGGGGGGGGTATAAAGGCCACTACTGACCAGCCACCAGTATACCAGTATACCAGTCACCAGTATACCAGCCACAGTATACCAGCCACCAGTATACTGTTGTCCTGGACACATTCAAGGACTAAAGTATTCATTCTCTCTGTGTATGTATATACACGGAGATGCGTGGCTACACCTCTCAGCATATATACACTCACAAGCAAGGCTCGTATACCTCTCAGTATATATATATATATATATATATATATATATATATATATATATATATATATATATATATATATATATATATTACACATACATACATACATATAGGGTGAAGAAAGGCTCATACACTTCCGTGTATACAGGACCAAGCAAGGTTAATACACCTCAGTATACACAGGACCAAACAAGGCTCATACACCTCAGTATACACAGGACCAAACAAGGCTCATACACCTCAGTATACACAGGACCAAACAAGGCTCATACACCTCAGTATACACAGGACCAAACAAGGCTCATACACCTCAGTATACACAGGACCAAGCAAGGCTCATACACCAGGGTGCATGTATCATCCAGCGAGGGATGACAAAGGCCAATATTAGGGAAGTAAAGGCGACCTTTGCCGTTTCATTCACAGTTTATTATGACGCGGCGCGGGGCGAGTTGCCAACAAGCACAATACGATTTATGTGTTCTATTTATCCTTTCAGGGCAAGCGACGGTCGCTCCAGCGATTCCCTTCCAATCTATCACATCAACATTATGTAGCAATACTTTTTTTTTTGTCAAATATGTAAATGTGTCGCGAAGGGAAATGGAAATATAAGCATAAAACTCAGAGGGGGAAAAATAGCAAGTGGCATCCCTCATATGGAGATAAGACGTACATATTCGAGCGTGACCAGTCAGGCAGAAGACGCTGATAAGTCCGCACGCTCGTCGCGCGCCGCTCGCCCCGCCACAACCCTGAGGCCAGGAGGCTGTAGTGGGGGAGGGACAGGGGTGCGTAGACGGAGGGGCAGGGGTGCGTAGACGGAGGGGTAGGGGTGTGTAGACGGAGGGGTAGGGGTGTGTAGACGGAGGGGTAGGGGTGCGTAGACGGAGGGACAGGGGTGCGTAGATGGAGGAGCAGGGGTGCGTAGACGGAGGGGCAGGGGTGCGTAGACGGAGGGGCAGGGGTGCGTAGACGGAGGGGCAGGGGTGCGTAGACAGAGGGACGTGGGTGCGTAGACGCAGGAGCAAGGGTGCGTAGGGGGAAGAAATGCGAGTGCGTGGCGGGAGGAGAGGGAAGGGCCCGTAGAAGGGGTGTCCAGGGGAGAGAGAAGGGTGTCCCCGGGTGGGGTGGAGGGAGGGAAGGGCTGTAGGGTAACAGCCTTGCTAGAGCGGGAAAGGAATTAAAACGACGACTTTTAACACCTATTAAGTTATAATTTTTACGAGACCCGCAAGTATGTATACACTGTAAGGGAGCACGTATATAGACTGTGTGGAGGTACAGTGTAGTGTTGTGTATACACAGCATAAACATAGAATACATTAGCAGTGGTGTTCCAGTAGGTAGGAATGTTGGCCTGACCTAGCCCGAGTCTTGCCAATGAGCTTCACAAATAAGTATAATATCACAGGGATTAAGAGCCCCCCCGGAGGGGGGGGGGAGTGGGGGTGATAGTGATGGCTCCCCCTCCCCCCCCCTCCCCCTTCACCACACGTGTCAACTTTGTGGAAGTGTAAACATTATCTTTTGCAATGTCCCATATTGACTGACTTGCGGCTCCCAGGACTGAGATGATATTCTGCACTCTGTAAACATTATCTCAAAACTTGAAACACTTGGGTAAATCCAATATACCACCAAGATATATATATATATATATATATATATATATATATATATATATATATATATATATATATATATATATATATATATATATATATATACACACACAGAAGTCGTGATAGCAGATTAAAGTTGGACCAATTTATGTTTGGAAACGAAGCAGGTATGCGATGGTTCTGCCGGTGGATGGAAGGACTGTTGTACCCAGTAAGACCATTGAAGTCAATGGTGTGGAGAGGTTTAAGGATCGGTATGATAGGCATGTGGGTAGACGTAATTGGTTGCAAATAGGACGTGTCAAGAATGGTATAGTGAAGTGTTCTTTTCTGCCTGTGTGCTTCCTGTTTGGCGGTGTCCTTGGTTATAAGATGGGTGGTTCATAGAGTATACTGCCTTGCTATCTTTGTACCTATATCTCTTTATATCTCTCTCTCTCTCTCTCTCTCTCTCTCTCTCTCTCTCTCTCTCTCTCTCTCTCTCTCTCTCTCTCCTTACCTTATTTTTGTAAAACTATGATTCATTAGGGCTGTCAATAGAGGTACCTGGTGAAACTGCAAGAAAGAGCTGTTATATTACCTCAGCTCATCTAAAGCCTGCTCCTGGAGACTCACTTATTTCATGAAAATATTGTTTGAATCATTAGGAATAAACTTTATTTAAATCGATCATAAGGAACAGGATGAGCCTTTTAGCCAATTGTGTATCAGAGCCTTCATGTGATCAGTTGACCTGATCTCCCGTGTGTCAACCTGTTGAGCGAACAAGTTACAGATGCGACTCAGCCTATGAATTAATGATCTCTGATGGTGTGATGTTCTTGAGAGAGGCACTTCCAGTATAATATTGTTTATGGCTGAGAGCCTTATGTTACGTGTGCTATCTACTGGTTGGCCACGAAGTTGGGCCAGGTGCGGAACTTTGAGGATGTTGGCCTTGTACATAACAGTAAGACCACCAACGTCACGACGGTGTTGCAGGCTCTGATGTTCAGACCGTTCCCACCAGACTTGGTCAAGACTAGAGATGAGCCAGTCTTGCCCGTCTCTCTCACTGTGTCCAACAGTCTGATGAATGATGGGGGGGGGGGGGGGGGCAGGCGATCCAGGAGAGGGGTGCATACTCTAGATGAGAGCGAACTTGTGCTTCATATAAGGTTGTGCAGCACTTGGTGTCAAGGTGTGATATGGGCCTTAGGGTTGTAAGTTTTCTAGCTTCCTTGTAGGATAAGTTAAGTATGTGGCTTTTCATGGGCACTGAAGAGTCAAACTTCATTTCCAATATGTCTATTTCATCTCTGAGCTCTTAAGTTTTTGCCACTTATTTGCAAGCTTGTCCAATTTGCAATATGCAAATTGGTAACTTTGTAGCAGATGGCATTTCTTCTTTTCCGTGCGTAAAGGTCAGAGTACACTCGCCAGCATAGGCCTGAGTGTGAGGACTGGTTGTTGAAGTAGACATTCGACAGCAGAGGACCAGGCAGCCTACCCTGTGGTACGCTGGTGCCAATTGAGTGACTTTCGGATTCTGCTCCATTGAGGCTTACTCTTGGAGTCCGTTCCTGAAGGTTGTCCCATACGGGCTCTAAAATGGAGCCTGAAATGCCTAGTGTTTGAAGCTTTGTTGATAATCCAGAGCCAGACCCGATCAAAGGTACCTAGTATGGTATCAGCAATTAATCAACCCATATATGAAAGTTATCAGCAACAACACAGCTGATTTTGAACTCGTCTAGTAACCAATGCCACTTAGTGGTGAAATTTATCAAGCGATCAGTAGCAGATCGACCTTTGTAAGATCACACTCTCGAACACATGGTAGCCGATGATGGCAAAACATTGTGCCATTTGGTGAGATATTAAAGTTTCAAGAATGTTACCAGTAATGGTGAGCAGTGACACTGGTCACCAACCAGTGAGCGGCTCCGT